AAGTGTATATAGAAAATGATTACCATAAATTTTCCATATATGAAAATTATATGACTGGCATTTTTTTGATGGCGACTCCAAATTTTTTTTCAACTGCAATTCGAATTTTGTACGCAAACAATCATTTTCCGAAAAAAAATTTTTGCATGCAAAATTTAAATTTTTGTGTGCATAACGTAGTCATGGATACGATAACATTGGCTTTTTTTCTTATCACTTACATATTTTTTTCAAAAACGCTGAAAATCCCTTTTTTGTATAGCGTGTTTATGTATGCCTTGATCACTGTCTGATAACTTGATAATTCAAAAATTCAAAATAATCATCTTTGAAAAATTTTGCCAAAAATTAAAAGTTTGTTACTTTTGTTATATCATTTGTGAAAGACAGCTCGAATACAGTTCAGGTCATTTACTATGCATTGTAAATGCAAAACCAACCAACTTTTGGTGCTTAGAGTAACCACGGTCTTTGTCACTTGTGTTCGGTTGCAAACAGAACCCAAAATTTTTCAGAAAATAAAATTAGAAACAAAAAACAACTTTTTAGTTTATTGAAAAAACACCTATCATACAATGTCCATTTATGGGAAAACTTTAATCATAGAGATTTCATAAAGTTTTTTGCTTTTGTACGTATGGAATTGTATGAAAAAGTTTCTGTATTTCCTATTTTTAAATAGTTTTTGGCCATGAGAAAAAATTCAAAAAACATATTTTACGACCAGAAGTTACATTTTTGCGCTGCCTGTTAAAAACACATGAATCTCCAAAACCCTTGCCTGGAAATTTCTGTCATTTATGGTGTGAGTGGCTAGCGGTTGGCCAAAACGCATTTAGCCCAAAGTAGGTCCCCGGGTTGACCTCCATACACCAAAACTGCTTATCATACAATTCCATACAACAAAAATCAGTATCATACAATTCCATACATCAAGTGTGTATAGAAAATACTTACCATAAAATTTCCATATAAGGAAATTGTATGACTGGCATTTTTTTGATGGCGACTCCAAATTTTTTTTCAACTGCAAATCGAATTTTGTACGCAAACAAACATTTTCCAAAAAAAATTTTTTGCATGCAAAATTTAATTTTTTGTGTGCATAACGTAGTCATGGATACGATAACATTTGCTTTTTTTCTTTTCACTTTCATTTTTTTTCAAAAACGCTAAAAAATCCCATTTTTTTGTATGGCGTGTTTATGTATGCCTTGATCATTCTCTGATAATTTGATAATTCAAAAATTCAATATAAACATCATTGAAAAATTTTGCCAAAAATTAAAAGTTTCTTACTTTTGTTATATCATTTGTGAACGACAGCTCGAAGACAGTTCAGGTCATTTACTATGCATTGTAAATGCAAGACCGTCCAACCTTTGGTGCTTAGAGTAACCACGGTCTTTGTCACTTGTGTTCGGTTGCAAACAGAACCCAAAATTTTTCAGAAAATAAAATAAAAAACAAAAAACAACTTTTTGGTTTATTGAAAAAACACCTATCATACAATGTCCATTTATGGGAAAACTTTTATCATAGAGATTTCATACAATTTTCTGTACGTATAGAATTGTATGAAAAGATATTTTCCGTTTATGAGAATTGTATGACAAGCATTTTTGGTCAAAACAGGTCAATAGTTTTATTTGGCTACGCCATTTAATTTCATCCTTTGTCGGTTCACAAGAGAATATTAAGACAATAACGAGGCTGCTCGTAAACCAGAGAAAAACCCTGATTGTTCCGACTTCACTATCAGACCAATTTAAAGTTTTTTATTGAATTATTGACAAAATAATCGAAAAGATTTTTTTTTCTTTTTCATTTTTTTCTTTTCCTTTCTTCATTTCATCCCTCACATACTATTTAAAATAGAAAAAACATCTTTAGCGTCTGTTCTTGCTTTAAAAGGGCTAAATTGCTGGATTGAATTCAATTTGTAACGCATTAGTTTGACGCTTTAAGATTTATACGAGCATTATATCGCGCGTCAAGAATCCCAAACTGACCAAATTTGCAATTTTCAATTCCCCATAACTGTACAAAAAATCATCAGTGGCAAATTTTTTTTTTGAGCTCAAGCCAACAAAATCCGTCAAACATGCTTAGTTAAAAAGTCGAATATTTGAACTTCCGTCGAATAAAAAAAACCAAACTTTATCATTTCCTCGGATTTTCATTCACTGTTTTTAGAAGTAATTTTAGAAAATAGCTTGTTTTTATAAGCTTTATTTTTTTGTTTTGTCGCGTTTTAGTGTGATTATCATTAAAAAAGTTTTCATGACTCTATTGTTTTGATTTTTTCGAAAAAAAAATGGTTGGGTCGATAAGTGAAGTCCTCCACATTTGAGTTTCAATTTTGGAAAATCTTTTTTCACAATGTCATAATGTATTGAAATTTAGAATAAACTAAATTCTTGTGAATAAATTTAATCATCATTACTTACATCGTTAAGTTACGCATTAGGCCATAATAACAGTTAAAAAAAGGAAAATGGAAAAATTAAAATTTGGGATGGAAAAGAAGGTTGATTTTTTCTGACATTTGATGTTATGAACTGCAATGAAGTTTGTCAGCGTGATCAAATTTCGGCATCACTTTTTGCATGCAAATTATTTCTTTTAGAAACTCGCCTTGTCAAATTACAACTTCATTTTGTTGAAAATAGAGACGAAATTGAACATTTTTTAAAAAATAATAATTTCACTTTCAAAAACACAGAAGAATAAATTTATATTTCAAAAACGCAGACTGCTACTAGTATCAAGGCGACACCTTGAATGTTCCCACTGTCTTTTAAAAGGTTTATGGAGGAAAGTTTGCTTAAAAACATTGATGAACATTTCAAAACAAAAACTTTCCCTCACACGCTTTGTAATGGTTAAAGCGCTGTAAATTGCACATCGCAGAGTGTTAAATAGACCGAAAAGCATAGCTCAATTCAATTTGGATTCTTAAGATGGATTACTTTCCGCTTGCGGGCTAATAGCACGAAATATATTGCGTGTTAATTATCCCAAATAAGCCAAATTGGCAATCTTTAAAACTACAGAAATTTTTTTTTAAATGATCACATGAGAAATATCTTTTTAAATTTTAGCTTAAGAAACAATACCTTCTGACTTATATTTTAAAATTCCGTCAATAAATGCTAGTTGAGAAGTCAAAAATTTTCAGGAGAAAAAAACACTCCAAACTCAAATATTTCATCGTTTTCTTCGAAATTTTCGTGTTTTGCACCAGCAGATTTAGGGGGCGGGGGCGGACGCAACCCTCCATTCAAAGATTCGACGCCCTGCCGACCCAAAGGGTCCCCCTTTGTACTATTTCAATATCTCCATTGACGGACCGTAAATTTTTTTTTTTTTGAGCCTTTGGCGCCAATATCCCGATTTTTCTATCATTTTTTTCTCCAAAAAATGCCTCCTAAAACGCCTTCTCATCCTGTTTTTTTCATATCTTTATAACGACTTGTGACAGCTCGGAAAATCAAATTGGTCAACCTAGAAAAAGTTGATAAATTTTGAACATTTTAGTAATGAAAAATGTGCAAAAGTGTTAGTTTGTGCGTTTATGAGACAAAAACTGAAGGTTTCTGTATTTCCTATTTTTAAATAGTTTTTGGCCATGAGAAAAAATTCAAAAAACATGTTTTACGACCAGATGTTACGTTTTTCCGCTCCCTGTTAATAACCCATGAATCTCCAATACCCTTGCCTGGAACTTTCTGTCGTTTATGGTGTGAGTGGCTAGCGCTTGGCCAAAACGCATTTAGCCCAAAGTAGGTCCCCGGGTTGACCTTCATGCACCAAAAATGCTTATCATACAATTCCATACAACAAAAATCATTATCATACACTTCCATTTTTGTATTACTGATAAATAATAAGTTTTCATATTAAAATTTTACAGCTCAGATTCTTTAAAGTGTGTAACACAAACACAATCATGAATTAAAAAAGTAATTAGAAAAACTAAAAGAATCGGCTTTTTTGAGATACTTCAGTTTAAAAACTTTTACTATCGCTTTCAAAAAAGAATTCTCACCCAATTTTTTACGTTTTTTTCTCATTTGTGAAACTTGCATATACGGTCCATGGAGGTCACCCAAGTCGCAGTTTAGTAATTTCTATTTTAACTAAGTTTTCTCCATTTGTGCTAAATGTGAGAGTGAAACAGCAAGGGTTGAGGTGCTTTCGGCTAAGTTTTTGGATTCGCTCTATGTTCACATATTCACAAATGATTAACCGTTGAATAGATAAAGATATTCTTTTTTTCTACCAGCGCGGTCAAAATTTAGTGCAAGTGATTTTCAACCATGATCTAGATCCAATCGTGAATGCTTCAATTGTATCCGACCATTTCATCCATAACTCATTGCTCTCCAAATTTCCTCTCAAACTCAAAAAACTTGGTGCTTTGCCGGTATTACCTGAAGTCATTACACTAAGTCAATAATCCAGCCTCTGCTATCTTTAAAAAAATAACTATTTTTCTCAGGAACAAGATATTTTCCGCTCTTCTTGCTTCGCCAATGAAAAATTTCGGCTGATTAAAAATCACCACTTGGTTTTAGTAATTTGGACCTCTTTAAATATCCCTCCCCTTCTTAGCAAAAGTGGAGGAGGAGGGGAGGTCGTTAATAGGTAAAATGAGCGCATATGTTTAACCGTTGAATTATTTCATGATAGCGTTGACAATTCGTTGCTAGGTACCAAAGGGGGGGGGGGTAGTTAAAGAGATTCAGAAATTTTAAAGACAACTTAACCGGGGCCCAGAAATAAAGAGCCATTTGGATAAATACTGTCTGTCAATTATTGAATAATTCGATCAATAAGAAAACAATAGGAAAATAAACTGCTCTTAATTTGCAATCAACAACTATGATATATTCAGCCTAACACTTGAATGGAAAATCTATTCTATTCCTTTAATCAAATTTAATTTTAACTTTAAGACTTTGAAGAAATCATTAATTTCTTACTATATTCTAAAGTGGGACACTCAAATTCGGAGTTGATGAAATTCGAATTAAATTTTTAAATTATCAGTTTCTAAACTTATTTTTCTGAACCTTTAAAAAAGACATTAAAATTTCAGAGAGAGACACTTCTTGTCGATTGTATTCGAAATAAAATAGTAAAATGAGTGAATCTCCTAACTGGGATCAAAACTTGGACGACGAGCAACAGGATCTTTGGCTCAAGGTGAACTCACGAGAGCGAAAACGAATGCACGACTTGAACTCGGCTTTGGACGGACTACGCGAGGTTATGCCTTATGCACACGGACCCACAGTTCGCAAACTGTCAAAAATTGCTACTCTTATTTTGGCGCGAAATTACATCATGATGCTGAGTGCTTCGCTTACCGAGATGAAAAAGCTTCTCGCCGAGTCCTACTCGGTTAATGCGGCACTCACTCATTCGCTGCAAAATGGCGGGAAACCGATAAGCCGTTCGGGTCAAAACTTGGGCCCAAGTGGCGTCGCGGCGAATTGGAATTTTCCGCTGAACGAGTTACGCAACTCAGGCAGTGATTGCGTAAGAGGAACCACGCAACCGCAGTGCCAAATCAGCGAACACTTCATCTCAACGGCCAGGCTGCCCATCCTTCGGTTTGTAGAGAATCTCAAAACTTATGTAAAAAAAACAAAAGAATCCCGAAAAGACTTCTAAGTAGAAGATCCCACTAAATACTCAGAACGGTTAAAATTGTTCTGCAAAAATTGTGTCAGCTTGAGTAGTTAAAATTCAAATGCTGCCAATTCAACCAATTAGCAAATATTAAAAACGGAAAACACTTTGGAGAAGAAATGATAAGGAGCTCAATTTTTGAATAACTCACCGAAGCACCGAATGCGCGGCAATTTTGTCAACCAATAAGAATTCATTTTTCATGAAATCGAAGGAAATAAAGCAAAAAAATTAGTCTGTTCATGACAGTTTGAAGAGCATTGATTGGTTGAGAATTTTTGGGCATTCGGTCCTTCGCGCATAAAAAGAGACCCTCCTTTAACACATTTGAATTTCAGGCAAGAGCAACGGGTGAATACTTCGGCAGATAGAGTATTGTCCAAGGGGAAGAGAACAGCTGCTGGTTAGAGGTTTTCATCAGAATTTTTTCATTGTGCTTTTTCTGCTTTTATGCGGGGTCAAGCAAACAAATTTTCAAGTTTTCAAAAAATCTCGGTAAAGAAAGTCGCGAAATTCGAAACATATCAAACTTTGGTCGAGAAAATCTAACCACATCTATGCGGGGTCGAACAAAGGAATTTTTTTAAATTTTGGTCGAAACATATTGAAAAAGTCGAAAAAGTCGAAACATGTTGATTATTGGCCGAGAAAGCCGAACCATATCTGAGCTGGGTCGAAAAAAGTTCTCCACTTTTTTTTTGTTTGAACGAGAAAGTCGAAAAATACCAAAAGTTGGTTGAGAAAGTCGAGACAGACCAAATTTCAGTCGAGAAAGTCGAACACAAATCGAGCACCTCGACCCGGGAAGTACAAATTGAATTTTGATTTGATTTTTCCAAAAAAGAGACCAGCTTAAAATTATAAAAAAAAATTCACAAGGTAATGTAAATTACCATTATCTATCATCGTTCAATCTCAAAGTTTCGGCCATGAATATAAATTAAGTGCAATATGCAAGAGGTTTCAAATTAGGGTAGAAGAATGTTGTATATGCGAACTTTGTTTCACAGAATTAGTGGGAAAGGATGTTAGTTTTAGGCACAGAAAACAAGGAAATGATTCACATGACTCATCGAATCGTGGACTATAAGCGAAACGCTAGTGACGATAGACTTTTGGACAAAAACACAGATGCTAAGAAGATGCGAATATCAAACGAGAAGTAATGAACTCCAAAAAACTGCTCGCAAAAACGACTTGTGCTTTCGAAAACTCATAACAACTCGCAAATACAAATTTTCTGAAGCACATGCGCACAATTGTTCAAATTAGAAGAAAAAAGTTCAAATATCCAAATTGCATCAGCTGTTTTCAGAATTACTGCGTCAATAGGAAGAAATTAATAGTATCATATCCTTTTTAAAGTGATTTAATTAATGTGGTTAATAATATGGCAGACTGCTTATCAATAGATAGAAATTAATTATTTATAGATTTAGTATACAATTGGTTTTTAGCTACAAAAAAACGATCTGCCACCCGTCTAAATCTGTGAGCAAACAAATTGCAACAAGACAAGACTACTCGCATCAAGGCGACGCCCTGCATAATCCGATTGCGCTTTAATGTTTATGAAGTAGTGTGCTATTTAAAAAGTATATTGAAAGAATAAAAAAAGTGGAAAAAGTTGAATATTTAATTTTTTTTTGTAATAACCAAGCCCCTTTACTAGAAAAAACAATGCTCGATAATAGAATGTTTTGTTTCATTTAATAAATAAAACTATACGTCTCAGTTCCTGGTTTAATCTTAGATCAAAGTCGATCTGATTCTAAATTCAAAATGACATTTATGAAAACAAATAATTTAAGAGTATGTTAAAAATGAATGTTTTTTAGATAAGGCACAACTGTTTGTCTATTGTTAATTTACAACCAGGAGGGAGATTAAACTTTCTCATTTTACTTTTTCTTGTTTTTGATTAAGAAAGTGGGAAAAAATTGAACAGGGAAGGTACTACACGCTTCTCTTCTTGATAAGAGGTACTCCGGCAATTGTCCAGTGGAGGTTTTCTGTCAGGACCAAGGGTAATTTGTCTGTCAGGACCAAAGGTAATTTTAGGTTCTTTCCAAAAAAATAAGTTGCGAAAAAAAATGTTTTATCTTAAAATTTAACGTTTGAAAGTTATACTTTTAAATAATTTTTGTTCAAAAAAATTGAGAGACTTTGAAAGGGTAAAAAAAGAAGTTGTTTTAAAAGCGAATAAAATGAAAGAAGAGATATATTATTGTCTGTTTGGCAAGAAATTAGCATCAATGGAATATGGCAACTGACACTCCTCCAGAGAAAATTTTGTTTTTTCCTGCACCTGCTTTTTAGACCTCAATCTTCTTTTAACTTATAACGTTGTTTTTCATCAGAAGACTCATTTTTGCAATTTTTTGATATCTGATATTAAAAAATCGAAATTAAATTTTTTCATTTGCCTTAGTTAATTTAATGTTCAAACCGTTGGGGAATTTATCTGTTTTTAAAGTCATAACAATAAACACACGCCACAACACTGGTGTCAGGGATAAATTTGAAGTTATTTTAGTCATTTACTGATTCTAAGAATTTATTCGCTCAGTTGAATTCTGATTCAAGTATTATCTTGAAAGTGCAATCTTATCTTGAGGTCTGAACAAATGTGGATTAGAAAAGAAGTAACCGAATCCTATCTAAACAGTTAAAGCAACAGCTTTTTATATAAGTGGAGCAATTTCAAAGTTTTACCCCACACTCTATTTTAAGTAAAGTGATATATTTAGCATATAGTAACATTTAATTTTTAATCATCAGGAACCAATTGCATATCAGAGGCCATTGCATCTTAATTGGTCTCTAATAATCTTTAAAAAATATCAATTTGGTAAACTATGAAATTCGGATTGTCAGTTTAAAACTTTAAGCAAAGAAACGAAGTAAAACAAGACTGCTCGTATCAGGGCGAAGCCCTGAATGTTCCGACTGCCTTTTAAGGTTTATGGAGCAGCAGTAATAACATAAAAAATTAAATGAAATAAAATAAAATGAAAATTTTTTTTTCTAAAATTTGAAATTTTTATAAAATCATCCCCCCACACGCCATATAAAGTACAAAAAGATAGATTTCGTTCCTTGTAACAAATCAATTATGGCAAATAAGCTTCGTTCAACCAATTTGGAACTATTTATAAGACGGATTAAATCTCCGCTTACGCGTTAATATCGCGAATTATATCGCGCGTTAATTGTCCCTAATTGGTCATAATGGCCAAAATGGCAATCTTTAAACCATCATAACTTTACAAAAAATGATCACAGGTGAAATATCTTTTCAAATTTAAGCTCAGTACAACCATGGCTTTCGAATGATATAAAAAATTCCGTCAAAAATGGCTAGTTAAAAAGTCGAAATTTGTCTGAAGAAAAAAAAACCCACCCCGAGCACAAATATTCCGTTACTTTCGTACCGAAAGTCGGAACAATAACTAATTCAGTTGCCCAAATTCAAAATGGAACAATTGTGAGCGTGGGATGTTTTCTTGCCTAAATTTTTCGTGCTGTGAGTTTATTTAGTTTTAATTGACCAATTTCCAACACAGTTCAGGTGAGTTAAAGGAAACGAGCTTGGCAGTTTGATTATTTCCGGATCGATTCCAGCTGGCAATTTTTTTTTTGAAAACAGTCTGATTAAACGAAAACCACCCCGATTATATACTTCTCATTTTTTCAAAGCTGATACAATGACTGGCATGCCTTCATTCAATTGGAAGTAGTCAACTTGGACCTATAAATGCCGTTCAGGCGTTTTTTAGCACGAAATATATGGCGCGTAATTATTTTATATTGGCTAAATTGGTAGTTTCTCAAAACACTATAAATTTACGAAAAATGATAGCAGGTGAAACTTGATCTTAAATTTGAGCTCAAGACTATCATAACTTTCAGATAAAAACTGTTATAAGAATATTACAAAAATCTGCCAAATAGGGTTAGTTAAAAGTTCGATATTGGCCTGGAGAAAAAAAATACCTGAGCACAAATATTCTGTCACTTTTTTCGAAAGTCGGAACAAAAAAAAAACGAGAACTTGTTGGTAACATATCGCCACATCTAATTTTTATGATCATGATTTATTTTTTTTCTGAGAGGTCTTTTGATGAAAAAATTGATAAGTCTAATATATATTAAAATTTTTCGATATTCAAGAAATTATAGCCCATGAGCGAATTGAAAATTCAAATAACAAAAACTTTTATGAATGGAATTATAATAGCAGATTAGCAGATACCAATGACGAATGGTTCGGTGAAAACATTCTCATTCTCAATATACAATTAACTATTTTTATAATCTGCTTTTGACTAGCCAATTATAGGTCGAAGTTCGGTACTTCCTTGGGGACCAACATAGCACCAATTAATCCATAACTATAAATGGCCATTAGAAGAGATGTTAAGTAATAGTGCGGCTTCTTAGAGAGCCATTCAGTCAGGAAGGTAAGGATTGGCTGTGGCATCGTGATAAGACCAGTGGTCAACCCTGTCAAGCTAGACCGCACTTTGGGAGGATACAGTTTGGCGATATTGATCCAGACTATTGTATTGACTGCTTGTAGGAGAATTCTACTCACGGTCAAGATACCCAGTGATATCAAAGGATTTGGGCAGAAATAGAGATATGATGTGAGAACCAGGGTGACACCCATGAAGATCCGGGTACTCTGTTTTAAATCCACACTTCCGGTTTCAGAGTTTACCATCGGCACAATGAACACCCAAGCAAACACACCGGTCAACTGGCATAAGATTAACTCGCCGTAGTTCCACTTCGAAAGTACGTATGTCTTCGACACAGTGCCTGGATCAATTTAACCTCGGGCTTCGATTCGGGAGCTTATCATTACAATGCTTGTTCAAGCTTTTGTGGTAAAAATTGGGATACTTTGCACATATAAATCCGCACATATAAACCCTTCCAACCTCAATCATGAAAAATAATTGGTTGACAAAGTGTTTCTCAACCAATTAAGCTCAAACATGTTTTTTTTCTGAAATTATAAAAAAAAAAAAAAAAATACTGAAAAAACACTTTCTCGTGTAATATGTGAAAGATGTGGGTTTGGGCCTTCAATTAAAATCTGACGCGTGTTCTATACGGCTATAAAATTAATGTTAGATTAATGCTTATATACTCATGCTCAGAAGTTATTTTGATCCGTGCACCTTCGCAATAAGATTGGGAATCGGTCTCTCCGAGGATGAATAGCATAAACGACGAATTGAGAGGTATTTCCGATCATTACAACGCAAATTAAAACTCGCATTAGGCCCCAGTTTTTGAAAGCATCCGCTAGTGCTCCTCGAAAGGGTAGCTCTGACTCATCGCCCAAACCGTTCTTTTCATTTTTGCGAAAACTAAACTTTTGCGGCAGTTCTACTTTGTTGGATTTTGCGAGTCTTCTGATCTCCTTTTCGGCCTCATCGATTTTACCCTTTGCGACTAATTGAGTCGGTGTTTCTTTAAGAATCACAAACAATAGCACGAAACTGATCATAGAAGGAACCGTGCATGCGATGACGTAATATTTCCACGACAACGAGGGATCCGATAGCAGGAATAAAGAAAACAGTGTAGGAACGACACCCCCGAGAACATTTCCAAAAAGATGATTCCCAACAACAGCCCCCGTCCATTTGTATTTAATTGGTAATATTTCAGCAACGTAGGCAAGACCAAGGGGGATCGCTCCTATAATAGGCATACAAGACTGCTCTCATCAGCGCAAAAAACCTTGGTTTTAAAAAGCTGAAAGAAAACTCATTCTTTTTTTTAAAGCTCATTGTTCCGGCGAAAGTTCTGGGTTCTAGTTTTGTGTTTGAGTATATAATATTTGCACCTGGAAGCGTTTAAATACTTTAACGTGCATGTATGCAAGTTGTAGCAAATTATTCCCAGCGCAATGGCTACAAATAATTTTCCCGCTTTTCTCTTTATAGCTTTATCGAAACATAAGACAGTTCACTGCGTTATTCATCACGAGGACGAAACTAGAGAAACCTTTGCAAAATCAAGCAGGGTTTTTTTTTTTTAACACAGACGAAACAAGATTACGCCAAGACTGCGCCGATTGATACTCATATATTACTTAAAATGACTGCAAATACAAAAACTCTAACATTCTTTCCTGCATTGGCAAAAATAAGATTGCAATCGATTATAATCGATTTTATACAGATTTTCTACTAGTAAAAAATCGATTGTATGTAAGCCAATTAGACACTAAAATGGATATCATAGGGATTTTATAAAGTTCAGAAAAATCGATTTTTTAATCTAGAAAAAGTTTTCTGCAGTCTTTTTGT